GGCTCCCCCCTCCGAGTCAGATTCCGACAGGGGCATGACACAAGCACTCTCTGTCCCATTCGGCTCCGAGAGGCCTATTTGCCAGCCTGCTGATGGCACATCGCCCTGAACCGTGGAACACGGCTGCCGGCACCCCCAAGCGCTCCTGTGAGTCAGCCGTGGGGCGCCTGCAAGCTTATCTTCCCAACGAAGTTTTCCTCCGGTCTTCTCTTGACACTCTGGTGCTGTAATTACAATAACCATTAGGCTCAACCTCCACGGCCACCAGCTTCCTCCCTTTCCTCCCAAGCCCAGAGCTGCTACTCTCCTCCTGCGGCTCCTTCCTCCACCGGTTGAAGGCAAGACAGGCTCCCAGTCGGTGGAGCTGCTGAAGAAGTTCTTGCCCTGGTTCAGAAGCGTTATTTGTGCTCCTGGCTTAGGCCTCTCCCGGAGAAGTTTTTCCTCCTCAACGCGGCCTCTCTTGAGGAGTCTGGGCTCTGCCTGGGCCTTCTCGGTGCAGGCCCCACTTCATCACTCCCCTCAGGGAGGCCCCACACCAGCTCTGGATTCCTTCGGCCACTTCAGTTGTCCCACAAACACCACAGAGGTGACCAAGAGAGAGCGGAGTCCTCCGACGCACATTCGCCTCATTGCTTGTGCGCCATCCAGACCAGGCAGCCAAGCTCTGGAGTTCGGCCCCAAATCTCCACAATGACCGGCAACTCCTGTCTCAGCACAAAGACGGCGGGAGGCCCAAGGCCCAACCAGGATGCCCCCCACCCCCCACCCCAAATGGCCTTCCAGACCCTGACCACAACATCCGGGGAGTTGTGACTGATGGTTCCAAAGTCCCGAGCCACAACAGTTGTCGTATAAAATCCTCACACACACCCTTCAGTACACAGAGCTTTTTTGAAGGACGGAATGCTGGAAAAGCCAAGAAGGGGCCAGTCCTGGCTGTGTCTTTTCTCTGCAGCCCCCACCCACCCACCCGAGATGTCCCTTTCAGGGAAGGGGGGGCAGGAGATGACCCGAGCAATAAAATTATGAGCATCTCTTCGCCTATTGTTCGCTTGCTCCGTTTTTTTTTTGCAGTTTATGCTTGTGTTATAATTTATAATGACAATTTTATGTATCTACTCCAGAGGTGGTATATTCAGCTGGTTCTGACCAGTTCTGGAGAACCGGTAGCGGAAATATTGAGTAGTTCAGAGAACCAGCAAATCCCACCTCTGACTGGCCACGCCAACCCCCATCTCTTCCCTGCCTCCCATTGAGTCCCAGCTGATCAGCTGGGTCTCCTTTGGTTGCCCTGCACAGGAGAACGGAGCTGGAAAGCAGGTTAGTGTTGTGGGGAGGGCATAGGATCATTTTGCAGTATCTATCCCCTGCCACGTCCACCAAGCCACACCATGCCCACCAAGCCACACCCACAGAACCGGTAGTAAAAAAAATTGAATCCCACCACTGATCTACTCACTGTTTCAGTTCTGTTGTACACCGCCCAAAATTGCTTTTTGTGAGATAACTGGCTAGATAAATTAGATAAATAAATAAAAAAGTAATTAAAATCCTCAGGTCTCAATCTTCCCCCAATAACAGATCAGCTCAGGACAGAGTTTCCAGTGGGGTTTTGGGAGCCTGAAATATTTACACACACACACACACACACATACGCCATGGGCAAACAATGCTGAGGAAGGCCCCTTGAGCAGATCAAGTGATGCTCCAAACAATTTGTTTACTTGTAACATTTATTTGCCGCTCAACTTGCCACACAGTGATTCTCGGCATCTTACAACATTAAAATCACAGAAGGCCAAAACAGAAAAACCGGGTAGATTTCCCTGGATTTTCTCTACCTCTGGAGCGATTCCTTGGAAATAGGAAATGGGACAAAAAGCAAAAAAAAACAACGGAGGAAGGAAAATAACTGCCCCAAGATTAGGGCATAAAGTATGATAATCACAGGAGCTCAAACTACTAACCAGAGGGGACAATTTTGAATTATTAGAATATGGATTGATAAAATTGCAAATGTGACAGAAAAAGATAATATGAGAAATGAACATAGAAATGAGGTAAGAATTTTAGATAACATTGTAAAATAAGATATGAGAATATCCTAAGAAAAGTGAAACAAGTTATAACATGAACTGGAATTGGATAAGTTTAATACTTCATATTAATAAGGATAACGTAATATGAAATTGAATAAATACAATGAATAGGTAATTATGGTCATGTTCGTATTGAGGTGTGAAACCTGGAATCACACTGCTTGTCAAATGATAATTTTTTATTTAAAACAAAAATTGGGGAGGAAATTGAACATACTAGGTATATTTAACTGATATGGTGGTTGGCATTAGGAGAGAGTATTGAAATGTTGAAAATAAGCAATGAAAGATTATGACTCAATGTGAGGTGTATTAAGAGAGTGTATTAAGAGAGATGATTGGTATTATTAATTTTGCTTATACTAAAATGTATGATATACTGATGTCACACTGTTAAATGTATTGTTGTGTATGTGTAGATTGAAATAAAAAAAAAACTTGGGAAAAAAAAAAGGATGGCTGGGGAATTCTGGGAGTTGAAGTCCAAAAGTCTTAACGTTGCCAAGTTTGGAGACCTCTGTTGTTGAGAGTTTGGACATACAGAATTCTCCCTCGCTCCAGAGGGGAAGACCTGAACTCACAGGAGGAAAGGAAGACCCCTAAGGAAGACCTCCTGGTCAGGAAGAGGAACCGATTAATGCCCGCTATGGCTTCTTCTCCTTCTCTGGAAGTTTTCTTACAGAGGCTGGACAGCCACCAAGCAGAGCTGGCGCAGTGAATGCTGCTGGATGCAAGGGGTTATGCTTGATGACGTCTTAGGTCCTTTCCAACTCCAAGTCCTAAAGAACAACGGGTGTGCTTCAGGAAATGCATGAATTTCTGAGGGGCTGAGATGCACCTTTCCTCATGAAGTCACTGAACCGCGATGCGTTCTCAGCTTAAATTACAAAACATGTTAGGCAACAGCTGCACAAAACTGCCATTTCCTCTGCAGGGTGTGGAGAATGGAGGAGCCACCGAGGAAGGCAACTCATTAGAGAGAGACTCCAAGGGGGAACGAGAACAACCTTGGCGGGCTTCCAAGATTCCCCACAGGAATAAAATTGCACTCCTAGAATTCATATAGTGCCCCGTTTCCTCACCTGGCCCACCCCAAGAGCTGACGCGAGGTGTCTTTCACTCTTAATAGTCCTCGGATCGCCACAGCAACTCAAAAGGAAATCAAGAGAGATTGCAATGCTGCCGGGTGATGGGAAGCAGACGAGGGCATTGGGCACCCTCAAACCACCCCCCAAAGACAAGGGGGCAGGGCCTGAGGGCTTCTGGGAGAGGAGGAAGGCCTAAGACCTCCCGCTTTTCATCCTTCAGGCTCTGCTCAGCCATCAAGTCTAAAGAAAGCTGTTCGAAAGTTTGGACTTGCAAGCCAATGAGAGCTGCTGTCATGCCCTTGACAGAATCTGAATCCGAGGAGGAAGCCAGACAGCTGACAGGGTGTGGGAGTGTGACTCCGTTGGCTGTGGAGGAAACTGGGGAGGGGCAAAGTCCAGCTGGGCAGAGCAGGCGAGTGGTAGAAAAAGGGAGAGGGAGTTCAGAGGACGACCCAGGCCCGCCCCCTCTTCATCCTATGGCACGCAGGGAGGAACGGAGAAGAGAGCAACATGGGTTGCATGGCTTACGGGGGAGGAAAGGGCCCTGATTCCCTTCATTAGCTGCAGCTGGGAAGACAGTTTATAAGAAAGGCAGGCTGCATGCATTAGGCTGGTGGGAGCAAATGTAACTTTATCCTGGGTTGTGGTGGCTTATCTGTGTTCCTGGCGTCTTCCCAACTGTGTGAGTTTTGCCATGCCTACAAGTCTGAAATTCTTGCTCCTGCCCTGCCAAACTAATTACTTCACTTTAGCTTGTTTGTATTTTAAGTTACAGTTTGTGGGTACCTTGTTTTGGATGGAATTTTCTACAGTCAAAGGCTGTTTTTCTCCAGCCAGAAGGTAACCTGCACATTGGGGGCAAAGTTGGAGATAATAAAGGGACTCTTATTATCTGACTGTGTTGACTTTGGGTCATGCCCTGGGTCATTACAGCTGCATTCCAGATCTAGCAGGACAGGCTGCTCCAGCGGTCCTCTCAATGAAGCAGTGCAGCCTAGAGGGACCCAGGGCGTGTGTTGCCTTCTGTCGGGACACCTGCCTTAGGGAACAGCCTCCACGCTACTAGCTTTGACTCTCCTGGCCTTCTGGAACGCCGCGAGGACTTGGCTTTCAGCATGTGAAGGAGCCTGCTCTGGGTTAGATGGTCCGATGTCATGGTGGCTCGTCCTTGCCTCTTGTAAATTGTTGTGGAGTGCCGCATTGTTATCTTTGCTGCCCAGGTCAGCCCTATAAAGAGTTTTCCTACTCTGCTTTTAGGCGAATTCCTGGCATTTCCAGGCTAGAAATACAGAAATTCTGGCTTGGGCCACTCTGAGAAGTTTTAGTTTCCCTTGGCTCTCTGGAAAAGTTGGTTCAGGATGCCCAACTCTTCCAACTAATGGAAGGGAAGGCCGGTGTCGTCTGATGGCAGAGGCTCTCCTGCAGGGTGGCCATTCCCAAACCCGCCCTTGGTCCAAGAGCCATAATTAGCCCTGGATTTCAACACAGCCAGGAAACCTTCCACCCGCAGCGCACGCGGCCTTGCAACGCCCCACAGCCCTTCGCACCAAGTTCAGCTTGCAACCGTCCACGCTGGGTAACAGCTGGTGAGAGAAGGGGAAGTTGCACCACCTCGCTCAGAAGCAAACACAGGGCCTGAAATCGACCAGAGGAAGGAACCCCGGAGGTCAGGCGGCATGCGGCTTCTCTAAACTGGGACGGACACCTTCTGTTCAAAGGGACGGTCAGACCCTCCAGATTCTAAAATCTCTGGAGGTTGGGGGTGTCCTTGGTGCTAAGCTTGGTTGACCCCCTCATTTCAGCACTAAGCTACAAATCCTCTTCACCATTGGTACCCTGAAGCTCTTCTGGTCCTGAAATACAAGACAGAACATTCACCCTCAAGAGCCACGTTGGTTTCTACCAGGAGCAAATCTTCTCAGCCTCTGTTTTGGGACTCCTTGGCTGAAGCCCCCCCACCTGTCGGTTCCACTTTCTGCAGAAGGAGCCTTTCCTTGGCCAGGCCCAGTGTTTGCCATCCTTCTTCTTGGGGCTGAGCCCTCCCCGCCTCCTCGCAGCCCCCTTTCGTTTCAGTCTTGATACCCGTGAACTGCAATGCCCAGAAGCCCATCTAAAATGGACACCTAACATCAAAAACGTCATCAAAAAAGCACAACAAAGAATGTTCTTCCTGCGCCAACTCAGAAAACTCAAACTGCCCAAGGAGCTGCTGATCCAGTTCTACAGAGAAATGATGGAGTCTGTCATCTGCACCTCCATAACTGTCTGGTTTGGTTCTGCAACCCAACAGGACAGACACAGACTTCAGAGAGTAATTAGGACTGCAGTAGAAACAATTGCTACCAACCTGACTTCAATCAAGCACCTGTATACTGCAGGAGTCAAAAAGAGGGCTGTGAAAATATCTACAGACCCCTCACATCCCAGACATAAAACTGTTTCAACTCCTCCCCTCAAAACGGCACTATAGAGCCCTGCGCACTAGAACTATTAGACACAAGGAGTTTTTTCCCCCCGAATGCCATCACTCTGCTAAACTAATAATTCCCTCAACGCTGCCCAACTATTTACAAACTCTGCACTACTATTACTATTGATCTTCCCATCCTTCCTTTCACCCATCCTCCCACTTAGGACTGCATGACTGTAACTTTATCGCTTGTATCTTTACGATTTATATTGACTGTTTCTTAGTATGATTTGATTGCTTATTGTACCCTATGACTGTATAACCCTGTGACTATTATTAAGTGTTGTACCTCATGATTCTTGACTCTTGATGAATGTCTCTTTTCTTTTATGTACACTGAGAG